AACTAAACTAAACTAAACTAAACTAAACTAAACTAAACTAAACTAAACTAAACTAAACTAAACTAAACTAGCCTAAGCCTAAGCCTAAGCCTAAGCCTAAGCCTAAGCCTAAGCCTAAGCCTAAGCCTAAGCCTAAACCTAAACCTAAACCTAAGCCTAAGCTGGAATTCCCCAGCCGCATTTATTAGCGAGTTATCTGTCTGTCCTGGATTTCTGACAGCAGTTCGCCAGCTCTTCCGAGTTTCAAGGTACGAATCCCAAGACATTGCTGAGGTGCAACGCATGCATTCTACCCCTGAGCTGCACTCGGCTCCATTCTGCTCTGGCTCCTCCCAGTCCCCAACAGCCCCGCCCAATACCTGCTCCTGGGGAGGGGAGCGGAATTCACGGGTGCGCCGGGCGGTCTCCGCAGCTGACATGGAGATGGCTTCCATCAGCGTGCAGTAACGCTGCCGTTGGTTGGTCTGCAGCCTGTCCACGTAGCGCTCCGAGAAAGCAATGATGGCTTCCACGCGGTGTTGCAGCTCGCGGTCCCAGAAGAATTGCAGCAGGTTGCACATCTGTGGGGAGGAGGAGGGAAGAAGATGGGCAGAGAGAAGACAGGAGCCAGCTGCCAGTGTTGGATGGAAGGGACTAAGAAGGGGAAAAAACGCTTCTGGCTATGTAGGTGTTGCAGTGGGAAATACAAAGTGGGGTGGGCATGGGAAATGATCCTGGGGTGGGCACGGGAGATGATCCAGGGATCTAGCTATACCACTCTTAACCAGTTCTGCAGCTATTCCATTTTTCCTTCCTTCGTTTTTTATTTTTAAACTAAAACAGGACAGGGAAGAGTTACAAAGGGAAGAGCCTCTTATAGTGTTCTGTGCACAAGACAGGGTGCTCGCAAGGACAGCCTCATCCAGAGGCACTTCTGCTCAGGACGCATCTGACTGATGTCCATTGCTCCTGGCCCCCTTCCTCAAAACCTGTGCCTGGGAGTAAGAATTCCCTTGTGAATGATGCAAGACGTGAGGCACAAAGACATGGGCTATACAAGATGTGTTGAAAATACTTCCCTTATATGAAGGAAGGAGCAGCCTAACATTCATACCATGAGATCTTAGATTTCTCTGCTCGTAGGGTGCTGCAGCCTGGACTGTTCAGGCCATCTTGCAAGGATCAGCAGGTGGATGACTTGTTCCCTGGTCAGGGAACAGACCACTGACCCTGATAGCGTAAGGAAGGGGATCTAAGCAACTAAGCTGCTAGTCAAAGAGCACAAAATCCTAGCATTGGAAGGGACCACTGAAGGATGAAGTTCATCACACAGTTCTGTTCAACGCAGCCATTCAAACTGAGGCATCTCCAAAGGGTGGGTTCAGCCTCTACCTGACATATTCAGTAAAGGAGAGTGTATTACCTCCATCAGACATTGGTTCACACTCAAATGGCTCTTTTTGTCAAGAACTTTTCCTTAAATTGCCTTCTTGTAGCTTAAAGCCAATATTCCATGTCTTACACTTTGAGATGATAGAGATAGATTGTGGTTTTCTTCTGCACAAGGTCCCTTCAAGTATTTGAAGGATGCAGCTGGGGGAACTGGCAGAAAAAACAGAAATCTCAAAGCCCCTTCTATTACCTGCAGCTTGACTGATTCGGGAAGCTTCATTTGCAGCAGACCCTCTTCCAATCCTTCTTCATCCTCTTTGGGTTCAGCTTCTCCAGCCTCAATGGCTTTCAGCTCCTGCTTTTTACCTTCTTCAGCTTCTTCCTTCTGCTCCCCTCCAGCCTCTTTCTCCTCCTCCTCTTCCTCCACCTCCTCCTCCTCTTCTGCCTCCTCCTCTTCCTCCGTATAGACCTGCTCTTCTCCCGTCCCCGCCGCCACCTCAGCACCCACAGGCAATTCCTCCTCTTCCTTGGATTCTCCAAAGACGATGGGATCAATCATTTTGAGGATATGGCGCACATCCTCATCCTCAAACACACCCATGATGAGGAGGGTACAGACCAGCTTGAGAACTGGCACAAACTGGAACTCCACACTGCCCCCGACAGGGTCACGGGTATGTTGCCCCCCATCTTGGACAGCCTCTGTCAGCATGTTGATGGCCTTCACTTTCAGCACATCCAAGGGGATGGAAGGACTCAGCTGGTAGAGCTCAGAGCTGGTGCTGACGAAGCAGGCATCTGAGAAATGGAGCGGGGGACGCAGGCAGGTGCTCATACCCACTCCAGGCAGCCCAGGCTTCTTCGTCCCATCCGGGAACAGCGTGATGCTCTTAGTCTCATCTGTCATGGGGACAATGAACTCGCTGTTCATCATGAGGCGGGAACGTTTGGCTGATTCTAGGTGCATGCTGATAAGGAGGTCGTAGTAGCCACTACGCAGCAAGCCTGGCAGATGGTTGCTTTCAATGGTGTAAAGCAATTGTGACTCGTCCACATGGCTGCACAGGGCATGGGCCACCCGGTTGTTGCCCAAGGCACACACGGCACAGTACAACTTCAGGGTATGGGAATGAAATGTTAACAGGTCCTGACGCTCGGACAGTTCCAGAATGTCTATGCATCTGAAGTGGGGTGGGGAAAAGACTGAGAGTTAAAGAGTTAAAGTTCCAAGCTTGGCACTGTAGAAGAAAGTGGAAGCACTTGCTAATTTGCTAAGATTTTCTACTTCCCAGTGTTCAACAACAACAATCAATAGATGCTTCCTACCTTTGTTTAAATTAGGCAAGGAGACGAAAGCCTAAATATTAAATCTTCAGAGGACAAAGGCATTTCTGGTCATTTTTTAATATAATTATAGTTGCTCTCTCTCTCTGAGTGACAAAACCATAAACTCAGCCAACAGTCTTCCTTTACCTGGCATCTGGCAGATTTCAACTCCCAAAATCCACCACTAAGGCCAGACTGGGAAATACCAAAACTTCACCCTAGAACTTAGAGGCTTCAGCTTGTTTCTCTGAGGTGCAACGGGGGGCTACGAGAGACTCACCGATTTTCCTCTGGGATGTGGAGAGCCATCATTATGTTTGGTTCCATGCATTCAACCATCCAGCCATGGCGGTCACTAAAGCGAGCAACGTCCACCCGTAGAAACTCATTGGGCATACGGCTCCAGGTCATTGGTGCCAGCATCTGGATGCCAAGGCGAGGTGGGCACTGGGGTTCCGGGTTCTTCCGCTCACTGCGGAACATGGCAGCTGATATAGGCATAATATTCTGTCCAGCAAGGAGTTGGAGAGGCAAAAGAAAGTTGTTTATTAACTAATTTTTAAATAATGTTTCCAAACCACCCCAATCCGAAAGGACTGTGGGATTCCTTCATTATTCCAGGAGCCCCAGGAGCAATTTTCTCTTTGTTTTAATGCACAGCTTCTGGGATGGGCCTTACCTTCAGTTTGCCAAGTTCAAACTGGATCACATTCTGGTTTGTTGGGAGAACGACAACAGCGGGGAAGAGTTTTGTGTTGGGCTCCACCTGAGATGGACCAGTTGTGGGAGAACAGAAGTAAAAAGAAAAGAAAGCAAGGTTTCATTGCAACTTTTACGAGGAAAGAACTCCAGCAATTGTGAATATCTAAGGATAAAGATGGCATCTTTTTGTTAGGGCACTGAGATGGTAGCATTTTATTATTCAGACCTACTAAGAAGTAAATCCCATTAAGTCCAGTTAATATAGCTTTCAAGTAAGGGGATACAACCACTTTCCATAGCCTGAAGTCAAAACATATTGACAGAACACTAAGCCAATATGATTTTTTTTAAAAGCAGCTATACAATTGTCCCTTTCCAGTCCTCCAATGATGATTTTCCACATTTTTAAAAATATTCTGTTGAATATCATCTGGATTGGATGATGATGATGATGATGATGATGATGATGATGATGAT